CCCCCGCTGACGCTTTCAGTAAGTATTAAACGTGCCTGACAACGTCTGATGCACGAGCAGGTTTACGGGGAAATTAATTGTAATTCGGTTTGACAACTCCAAATGTTCAGAAGATCTCCTGAAATCCATAAGATTAAATAATAATAATAATAAAGACCTTTTGGGCTCGTTTGATTTGCCAGTTAGGATCCCTGATGTACTCACGCTTTCAAACACCGTCACCAGCCGAAAAGACATGTGTCGTTCCCCCCCCCAAAAAAAGTCACTTCATCCTTCCCTTAATCCTGATGGGGTTCTATGCAAACGACCAAGTGGTTGGACACCCAGAACTTTTCTCAGTCATAAGGTTCGTTCAGGGACACCAAAGGGTGCAGGATTTCCTTACTTCCATTGCATCATGCCAGTCACAAGGTGTGGCATTTGGAAGTTAAACGTCAGATCCAGAGGGAAGAAAAAGGAGAGGAAAGATGCCGTGAGGCCCTTGTACACAATCTGAAGACAAGAGTGGGCGATGCCTTCATTAAATTGCAAAAATAAGTTAGCTTTCGGCTTGTGGAGCTCTTCCTCTGGCTGGGCGCTGGAGAAGCAACCTTCTGCTTGTGATATTTTAGTCATTTGATAAAAGTTGTCGCGTACCTTGGTCTTCAAATTCGATCCAGAGGACGTCTGTTGCATGGAAGTCTCACTGAAATCAATGGGAAGCGTTCACCGTGCCCTAATTTCTGTGGGTGCCGAGCGCAACTAAATGTAGCCCGGATTTCCTCTCACCCATGGAATGGCGCAACTGGAGCGCCTTCTGTCCCTGTCTTGGTGGAACAAGGCAGAAGGCAGGATGATGCCTTCTTGGTGGACCAACTTGAGCAAACATCTCCTGGGCTCTTGAAAGGAAGGGAGGAGGATGTGTGGCTCTTGAGGCCATGTGCGGCCCCTCGCTCTCCTCTTTTTTTTCTGGCCAAACAAAGCAAAGATGTGTAGCTCTTGACCAACATATCTCTCACAAAGGGCACAGTGCGTTTCCTAGCATCCCAAAATACCAGTTCTTCAAAAGTGGAAGTGGGGTACCGCTCACTGTCTTTCGGATATAGCAGTCACAGCCTAGGAAGAGACCCCTGATGGGCTGCCCTCACACTTCCAGAAATGCCGCACCTGAGAGGGATCAGCCAGAATTACCACATATTTCCGTGTATAAGACGCCCCCATGTATAAGACACCCCCCACTTTTCTAATCCAAAATTAAGAAATCTTAGTGGGGCTTAGCAAGTGTAGGGTGAAAGGGATCAAAGCGCTGCAGGATCGCTTCGATCCCTGCTTTCCCCTCCACTTGTTTTTTCCTCTCCTCAGCTTACCTCTGTGTATAAGGCAACCCTCGATATTTAGTCTAAAGGTTTTAGACAAATGTAAAGTCCTATACATGGAAAAATACAGTAGTGGGCTTCTCTAGGGTTCAAGGGGTTCGTGCTGGGCGCCCAAGCTGTACCTTAAAGCAGGGCTCCCAGCCGCTTCGGGACGGGGTTGCCCGGCCTCAGCTCACACTGTGGAATGGGAGGCTGTGGCCAGGGTGTTAATACCAGGGTGGTGGGCTGTTGCCTGGGGAAGCAAGGAAGGACCCTGGCCGGGATGGCGCCCTGCCCTTGAGCAGAAGCACAGCCGATTTCCTGCTTTCCCCTCAAAGCTCCACATTGCAAGTTGAGGGGGGTTATTTGAAGAATGAATGTGTGCTTCTGTTTGAAAGGGAGAAAACTCCAATTACTGATTTGATTTGTGTGGAACCAAGGTGCCAAGCTGCCGACACCTCTGTGGCTGTCTGGGGAGGAAAGGCCTTGTAGTCGTATCCCTAGGATGCAGAAAGCTGGTTGTGCGTGGTCTGGAGGGACCTGCCAAGGTTTCATCTTCACCCCCAGCGGCCAAAGTCTGAGACCCAATGGGATGAGCAGTCGTGCTTGTGGTTTGGGGTGGGAGAGAGGGAGGGCTTTCCCCATGGCAGTGGAGGAAAAATGTTGCATGCGTCTCCTTGCACATGGAGCATGGCACACTCGGTCTCTCCCTATTCATAATGGCACCCGTAGGTAGGCATTTTGGCGCCGGAAACGTGGAGGCGGTGGGAATAGGTGTAATCTTGGGGTGAAGCTGCACAGACCGACCGAGGGGGGGTGACTGTGTATGTGTGCGCATGCATGTGCGTGTGCGCTCGAGCTTGGGTATTTGTGCTGAATGCAGACCTCCCACCCCCAAACACCTGCAAATGTTGCTCAGAGCCCATCTGGCTTCTGCCCAGATTCTTTGAGCAGCACTTTTTTTTCAGAGGAAAGCTTTCCCAGAATTCTGGGGCAGCTGCCGTGATGCGCGGCAGAGAACAAAGGCCCACCCAGAGACTCCCCTGGCAAGGTAATTGGGAGGGAGAAGAGTGCTTCCAGACCGAGGGGGCTCCTTCGCACCTCCAGCGGAAAAGGCGTCCTGCGGCACTCGTTCCAACCCTCCTCCCTCAACAGGGAGAGAAAAAGGTGGACGGAGCTGTGTGTGGGGGAAACATGGCAGGGGTGCGCGCGCACAAGTGGAAGGTCGTCTTCTTGGGATACCCTGCAAAATGCTGCGAAACCGGGGAGGCGCCGTTGCACGATAAAAGCCCCATCGGGTTGCACTCTTGTTCCATCCAGATGGTCCGACCGAGCCAGCTACAAGATGTGCGGGTGCAAGCGAAGCAGGGTGTAGTCTGATGGTTTTGCACTTGACACCTTTGTGTGCCTTTGAAAGCCTTCTTGGGATATGGTCCCCGGCTTGGCCTCTCCCGGGGATGCTGGAGCTGCCCCGTGGGTATTCGCAGGGCCTGGATGTGATGCTGAGAGTCTACCGGAGCTATAAACATATAAAAAGGGTCCAGAGCAGGCTAACTGTTCTGGGAACGATGACAGAATTCTTGGTCCACCTTAGGCCGTGGTCACACTTGTGAAATGTTTCCCAATGATGGGTTTCGGGGTTTTTTGTTTATTTTTTATTTTTGCTTCCAGACGACGCACGGCCATTGCTCTGCCTCGGGGCTAACTCTGCTACATCCCGCCTGCTGTAAGGCTATGACTGTTTTTAGTTCCAGGTTTTACCGCGCAACAATTTTGACATTGTCGATATGTGAACGACTGTCACGAGAAGTTTCTGGGCAAGATACCGTGTGTGGTCCCCGTCACTGATGTCTCTCGGCTGCCTGTCCCTTATTTTTTATTTTCTGGGGTGCGCCGTATCGGTGCGTTGGTAAACTTCTGTCCTTGTCCGCTGCGCTTCGACACATCGATATAACAGGATCATTTTTTAAAAAAAAGAAGTGGTGGAATTGTAAAGAAACCAGGAAGGGATTTGTTTTGCTACAGAGGTGCAGCTGCATAGAATGCATCTTTTTCTTAAAACTGTTGCAGCACTTTAAAAAAATGAGAACGCACATTGTGGGGTATACATTCCCGTGACCAAAATGCGCCACTGCTCAGCAAGCAAAAGGCACAAAAACCCAGGGAGACATTTTGCTGCTGTGAACGTCGCTTTAGTTAGTGCCTGTCCTTGTTATGCTCCAGATGGTGGTCTGGTTTCTTTATGACCCCTTTGGTTTTCCTTCCGTGTATCAGAGCATGGGGACGCTGGGTGTGGAGTGCCAATGACTTTTATCATTGCCCTTGAAAGTTGTCGGGCCTCTTTTGCTGGTGACCAAGGGCTTGTTGCCTGAAAGAGCAGAGTGAGAACATAAGAGGAGCTAAGCTGAATCCGACCAAATGCTCCTCCATCGTCCAGGTTGCCTTTTTTTTCTGGCTGCAGCGTTCCTGGCCTTGGGGGGGGGGTGTCTATGAAATCCTTCAGGCTCCTGCTTCGTCCACTCCTTGCTCGCGGGCCATGCAGTTTGAGCCAGGGTAGCTCGGTCTCGCTTGGGCTGAGACAGAAAACCCTTCTTTTGGAAGAGATGCCACGTCCGGGTCCTTGGACCCTACGGACGCTGCCCTGAACCCAACAGCCTGGTCTGAAAAAGCCAGCGAGAATTCAGGACTGTGTGTGTGGGCCAGGGTCTATGTGTACCTACCTGGAGACCACTTTTGACTGACCGGCTTCTACCGGGCCTGTGCCAGTTTTAGGAAAAGCTTGGGAAGGGTTGTCGTTTTGACAACAGCACCCAGATCCTACTCCGGCCAGTGTGAAAGATCAGAGCCGGTGTACGTAGTTCAAAAGAACAAAACAAAACTCCCAAACATGTCAAAGCTCTTGTTTTAGGAGCATTAGCCTTCACCTCAGTGGAGGGGCCATGCCTCTGCTTGAAAATGCACAACTCGGAGGGAAGTGTCTGATTTCTGTCCCTTTTGCCTTTTATTGGTTTTTAATTTATTTATTTTTTATTTTTTTGCTCTGTTTTAGAAGATGTTCCTCCAGAACCTCCAGAAGAGAAGCAGGAGAGCAAGGTGGAGCTGATCATCCCTCCCAGCCCTGTGGAGCTGGAGGTGGACTTGGTAAGTCGTTGGAAGGCTCTTGCCATGAGACGGATCTGGCATGGGAGGGTGGGAAGAGCCGATCTGGCCGGCCGCTGGCTCCGTTCTTTAAGGGAGGCGAGGCGAAAAGCCCTCTCTGTGTGAGCCTCGGCCTTTTCGTGGAAACTTGCAAATTCCTCTCGAATAGAATGCAGCGCCAGTCAGCACCAGCTCAAGCAGGTAAGGGATGGGAGAGGATGATAGCTAAGCCTCCTGAGTCTGTCTCTTTTCCTCCCTCTCCTGCTGTCTTGGCATTGACTTTGTGGCTGCTGTTCATTAGTCTAGGGTGAGTCTCTCTCTCTCTCTCTCTCTTTTCCCTCCCCTCTCGCCTTGCTCTTAAAGTTCTGTCTTGGAATTTGACTCTGTCCGCTGGAAACCTGCCATGTCCTATTACTGAGGCAGCAGCTGCATCCGCACAGCGAATGAAATCTTCCATAGAAACGTGCGGCTTTCAGGCTGCGGGGTCTTGGTGCCTCTGCGAGGGTGCCGAAAGAGGTTCTGACGCTGGGTTCAGGCATTGAAGGTGGATCCAATCCTCCTCTTCCCCGAGCGGGTTGCGGCGGTGGCTGGGGAGGGAAGGGCGGCCCTTTCCAGGAGGAGCACATGTTCCCGTCCCAACCCACCGCCAGCCGCAGAAGGTCTGAGCATCTCTTCCAACCGAAATGGGAGGAGGTTCGCCCGCCTGGAGTGTTACACCGGCAAAAGTTCACATTAAAACATAATATAACATTCTTTAAGGTGGCACATGTTTTTGTCTTTTTAGTTTGGTTTGTTTCAGAGTAGACCAAGTCTAAATGGGCGGCATATAAGTCAAATAAATAAATAAATAAATTCTTTGAATTGGGGTGGATCTGTTTTCTTCATTTTCATTTACTGCTCCTGCTTTTTTAAAAATGTCTTTTTCATGTTTACCTCCACTTCAGCCAGGCCCTGCGGTAGCTGTTAACAGCTCGGGTGGCACAATCTGCGGAAGCTCTCCAGAGCGACTGTCTTTCAATCATCTTGGCAAATTAGCCCTCTTCCAGCTCTCTTGGAGGACCCCCAGGAGGGTCGGGCGGAACAAGGGAGATGTGAGGAGAGAGCCAGAGGCATGTCGTTCCCAGTTTCTGTTCACCGCCCTGTGATGCATTCAGAGGGTTTGTCTTGAGCGGAACAGGCACTTATAGGGCGCAGCAGAAGCTGGGTGTTCGTCTTTGCATCCTGCCAAAACCGAGGGTTAAACGGTTTGCCTTCAATGGGCTTCCGTGTTGTGACTTAAATAGCAACACCAGAGTAGCTGGGTGGATAATTGAACAAGGTGATGTTCTGCAAAATGGATCTCTCTCTCTCTCTCTCTCTCTCTCTTTCATTCATTTTATTCTATATTTCTGAAGAAGAGGACTTGATCCACAAAAGCTCACATTAAAATAGAATACAGTGGTGCCCCACATAGCGATGTTAATCCATTCCGGATTAATCGTCGCTATGAGGAAACATTGCTAAACGGAACGGAAAAAGCCATAGGAACACATTAAACTTTGGAGCCCAAACTCATCGTTCAGCGAAGTTCCTCCATAGCACCACCATAGCGAGGGCAGGGCGTGAAAATTGTTGCGGCGGCCATTTTGGAACCGCCGATCAGCTGTTCAAAAAACATCGCAATGCAAAGATCGGTAGGCGAAACGCTTACCGATCATCGCAATGCGATGTTTTACCCATTAAAACATCGCAATGCGATCACATTAGCGATCTAAAAAAATAGATTGCTTTGCGGATTCGTTGTTAAACGGTGCGCTCATTATGCAAGGCACCACTGTAGTTAGCCTTTCTATTCGTTCATGGATTGCTGCCTTGTTGTGGCAAAGGGGCTTGAGTCCTTCAGAGAAGCTATGGGCTATACCGTGCAGGGACACGCAAGACGGACAGGTCCTAGTGGAGAGTTCTGACTCAATGCGATCCACCAGGAGCAGGAACTGGCAAGCCACTCCAGTATCTTTGTCAGGAATACCCCATGAACAGAAACAAAAGGCTAAAAGATATGATGCTGGAAGATGGGCCCCTCAAGCTGGAAGGTGTTCAACATGCTACTGAAGAGGAGTGGAGGACAAGTGCAAGTAGTCCAGAACTAATGAAGTGGTTGGGCCAAAGCCGAAAGGACGCTCAGCTGTGGACGTGCCTGGAAGTGAAAGGAAAGTCTGATGCTGCAAAGAAAAATACTGCATAGGAACCTGGAATGTGAGATCTATGAACCTTGGTCAGCTGGATGTGGTCGAACAGGAAATGGCAAGAATAAACATTGACATCCTGGGCTTCAGTGAACTAAAATGGACAGGAATGGGTGAATTCAATGCAGACGATTATCATATCTACTATTGTGGGCAAGAATCCTGTAGAAGAAATGGAGTAGCCCTCATAGTCAACAATGAGGGACGTGGTGGCACTGCAGGTTAAACCGCAGAAGCCTCTGTGCTGCGAGGTCAGAAGACCAGCCATCATAAGATTGAATCCACGCGACGGAGGGAGCTCCCGTCGCTTGTCCCAGCTCCTGCCAACCTAGCAGTTCGAAAGCATGCAAAGATGCTATAAACAGTACCACCTCAGTGGGAAGGTCATGTGACCACAGAAACTGTCTTCGGACAAACGCTGGCTCTACAGCTTGGTGACGGGGATGAGCACTGCGTCTTAGAGTCAGACACGACTGGACTAAATGTCAGGGGGAACCTTTACCTTTACCATAGTCAACAAAAGAGGGGGCAAAGTTATACTGGGATATAATCTCAAAAATGATAGAATGATTTCAATACGAATCCAAGGCAGACCTTTCAACATCGCAGTAATCCAAGTTTATGCACCAACCAGCAATGCTGGAGAAGCTGAAATTGACCAATTCTATGACTTACAACACCTTCTAGAACTGACACCAAAGAAAGATGTTCTTCTCATTATAGGAGACTGGAATGCTAAAGTAGGGAGTCAAGAGATAAAAGGAACAACAGGTAAGTTTGGCCTTGGAGTTCAAAACGAAGCAGGGCAAAGGCTAAAAGCCTTTGACTGTATGAACCAAAGCAAACTATGGCAAGTCCTTAAAGAAATGGGAGTGCCTGACCACCTTATCTATCTCCTGAGAAACCTATATGTGGGACAGGAAGCAACAGTTAGAACTGGATATGGAATAAATGATTGGTTCAGAATTGGGAAAGGAATACGACAAGGCTGTATATTGTCTCCCTGCTTATTTAACTTAAATGCAGACTACATCATGCGAAAGACTGGACTGGATGAAGCCCAAACCGGAATTAAGATTGCCGGAAGAAAGATCAACAACCTCTGATATGCAGATGATACCACTCTGATGGCAGAAAGTGAAGAAGAATTAAAGAACCTCTTAATGAGGGTGAAAGAGGAGAATGCAAAAAATTGTCTGAAGGTCAACATCCAAAAAACTAAGATCATGGCCACTGGCCCCATCGTCTCCTGGCAAATAGAAGGGGAAGTGACAGATTTTACTTTCTTGGGCTCCATGATCACTGCAGATGGGAACAGCAGCCCCAAAATTGAAAAAAAAAAACACCTCCTTCTTGGGAGGAAAGCGATGACAAACCTCGACAGCATCTTAAAAAGCAGAGACATCACCTTGCCGACAAAGGTCAGCATAATCAAAGCTATGGTTTTTCCAGTAGCAATGTATGGAAGTGAGAGCTGGACCATAAAGAAAGCAGACCGCTGAAGAATTGATGCCTTTGAATTGTGGTGCTGGAGGAGGCTCTTGAGAGTCCCCTGGACTGCAAGGAGAATAAACCTATCCATTTTGAAGGAAATCAACCCTGAGTGCTCACTGGAAGGACAGATCCTGAAGCTGAGGCTCCAATACTTTGGCCATCTCATGAGAAGAGAAGACTCCCTGGAAAAAGACCCTGATGTTGGCAAAGAGTGAAGGCAGGAGGAGAAGGGGTTTTGACAGAGGACGAGAGGGGTGGGCAGTGTCACCAAAGGGACCAACATGAATTTGACCCGACTCTGAGAGGCAGTGGAAGACAGGAGGGCCTGGCGTGCTGTGGTCCATGTGGTCACGAAGAGTCGGACACGACTTAACGACTGAACAACAAAAGTTAGCCTGTGAGGTGCCACAACTTTTTCTCTTGTTATGTTTTGTGTTTTTGGATTTTGCCTGACGCATATATATGTGGCTCTGCTCCTGCAGATGTTTTACACCCTCGGGACTTTTAGAGGTTGCCTACCCACCCACCCCCAAAGTATGAAAAGGACTAAAATGCCATTTCCCTGTGTGCTTTGGCCTGTAGGCTCCTTCCTTCCTTCCCTCCTTAACCACTGTATTTGGATAAGAAAAACCAGCCTCATTCAGTGGGACTGATCAACTAGCATTTCCTTTCGCTTGGCTCTGGGGAGGTGCCGGGCATCAAGGAAAGGGCACTTTCCCATCCTGGTTCTTCAGCCGTTGGCCTCCAGGAGAATCAGCCTTCTGGGTTGCATGTGTGTCCGTCTTACTACTGGATTCTGCCGAAAGGGCCACTCAGGAGCCGAGTCTAAAAACCGAAGAGGAGCTGACCTGGTTTGGATCGAAGGTGCATTCCGTGCCATGGCGCACCGGGTGCCCCTCGAAGGAATGCCTTCTCTCCCATTGTTCCCCAACGACTGGCGGTGAGAGGCATAAGGGTGGGATGGCGCACAGTCTCCACTACTAGTGACCTCGGATCATGAGTTTGTCTTAATTCCCTCTGGAAAGGTGGAGAACGTCCCCTCCGTTTTCAGCCCCTGGTGCCTCCATAAAAGTTCTCCGATTGGAGTCTCCTTCGCCGTCAATTGGGCTTGTGCTGTACAGTCGCTAAGCAGAAGGACACGAGAACATCAGGAGAGGCGGCTTGGGACTCCATCAGACAAAGACCTCTTTAGTCCAGCAGCTGGTTCACCTTTGTAGCTGGACACCTGCAGCATTGAAAAGTTAATGTTCTTGGGTTCTAGCTCCCAGAATTACCCTGGGGATGATGGACGCTCTGGTACATACTGTGGAATGATGGGGGAACATTGTACATGGGCACCTAGTATCTTGTGCTTCTGTTCCCATAGCTGTGGGAACCTGGGAGGCGATGCACCCAAGCATGGCCTGCAACTAAGGATTGCATATCCTCTCTCTCTTTCTCCACTCCGCAGCCCATCTTCCTTGTCTGGGTTTTACTAAAACTTTTTCCGCCTTTCCCCCCCCTTTGGCCAGAAACCCTGCATCCGAAGCCGCCTGTCCCTCTCCGGCCTGAGAGAGGAGATGTGGACCGAAGAGCACGAGGCCATGATGGAGCTCTTCCTCAAGGATGTCACCAAACCGTTGCTGGTGTTTTACATCGACGACTTTGCCGGGCTGAAGGTGGAGCTGCTCATGCCGCACCAGGTCAGTCCGAGAGCCGCTTCCTCTAGAGGCCGCCCGAGAGCTCCTTGGCTCCTCCGCGTTCCCCCGAGGGAGGGCTGACGTCAGCAGATGTCATCTCGTTCCAGAGACCCGTGTGTTGGACGAGAAATTTGCTCAATGAAACACATTTAGATTCTGTTCTGTGAGTGCCACACGATCAGATCACTAGGAGTCGTGGGCGTAAACAGAAACCGCGCCTTGCAGCCTCAACTTATGCATCCGTTGTTCTAAAACCAGCTTCCATTGCCAAGGTCAATAAAACGCCAAAGGAGTTTGGACTACTCGGGGTGTAAAGAACAGTGTTCCCCCCCCCTCCCTGCAGGGGATACATGGCCATTATCTTCTGTTCCTCCCTCCCGGTTGCAACCTTGGGAGGATACGCTATAAACACCTTTTGGATGTCCAGATTGTGGTAGCATCTGCGCCGCAGCTGGCCTCGCAAAGGGACAGGACCCGCTGGATTCCAGCAAGGTGGGGGTGGGGGTGGGGGCGGCTCCCCAGCGTTTCAACACTTATTTTGTTTGTTTCCTTTTGCTACATTGCCTCCTGCTGCCACTCTGTCCACTACTGGCACAGAAAACTTTCTATATTAGGCACCCGTGGTTTTTCCGTCTCCATCAGGACTCAGACCATGTAAGCTCACAGGGATTCTGGATCGTCCAAACCTACCCATTAGCACAACAAGAAATATTTGGGGATTTTTATTTATTTATTTTGGATTGGGAGCACCTGGCGTCCCACGGCCAGTATGGGCACTGGCCATGCCAACGGTGGGATTCTGAGAGTGGCATTCCCGAGCGCACAGGTTTCACTTTGTGGGTGTGGCTCACATAAAAAAAAGGGGAGCAGACTTCTGCGGGAACCTAGCAAAGGCCCATCTACCCATCATGGCACAACCAGGGAAGAGGGTCTCCCACTTAAGTTACCCCAGCAATTGGCAGTAAGAGATGCCTCCCCGTCGTGATAAGTAGCTGGCGATCGGGTGGCCTTCCAAGGAGGTTATCCCTTTTCGGCGTTGAGAAGGGCACGTGAGGTCCCGAAGTGAGCGTGGGACCCCACACCACATGTTCTCAGGTGCCAGGCTCATGCGTGGTGGTTCATGGATGCTTTGTTACCTGCCCAATCAGACTTTTGCTGGCTGAGTGTCTTTCCCCTTCTCATTCGGCGTTGCCTCCGCAGGAGCAGAAACAGCTGGCGTATTTCCTCCGCCAAGAAAACAAGGAGATCACGGAGGAGAATTTCCACGAGGTCGTGCAGTTTGGCACCGTCCGCAAGCCCTACCTAGATTCTCTCATGCACATGCTCAACGCGATCTATCTGCCCCGGCTCTTCCGCAAGGAGTCCTGGCCGGAGAGCATAAAAAACGAGTTTTTCTCCGAGATCTACCACTTCATGACTTCCCTCACAGGTAGGCCCTCCGCCCTCCTTCCTTCGTGGTAGAACCTGGCACAGGGTCCCCCTTTTGTTGAGGGCCGCGGCCACCCTCCAAAGGTTTGCTCACGCGGTTCAGATCCGTCTGGGAAAGGCAAGAGCCCGTGCACGCGCTGGCTTTCTGTGTTGGGGAGGTGGAGTGGAGGCTTCCTTCCCGCTTTCCTCTGTCATCTCAGGAGGCATCATCTCCTCCTTCCCTTTTCTCCCTTCGAGATCCCTGTAGAGGACAAGTCAGCAGGCAGAGGTCTTCCTGCCCTGTCGGTGTTTATTTACCAGGATCTCCTCCGTGTTTTCTCCGTCTCCAGATACTCATTCCAAAGCGAGGGGCCGCACTGTCCTCTACATCCCGATAGAGTCCCTGACGATAAAGACCGAGGTGGCCTTAAAGGACAAAGCCCTTGTTCAGCGTCTGGAGAGTGAGTGATGGATCTCCTGGGATCTAGCATTGGGTTGTGTGTATTTGCGCACAGGAGTGGGTAACAGGATCAGCCGAACCGGGGAAGGGGCTGAGCGGGAGAAGGATTAAGTTTGACTGAGCGGTTTGTGAGAGGAGCTGCACTCGGGCTGTAAGTGAATTAACCTCCAGTGGCATATGAGCTGCATCCATCATTCCCAATCATGGAAAGCAGGTTTGTCAGGCTGCGAGAGAGCGTGTGCGGGGCCCCCGCCATGGGATTATTAGTTCTGCTGCAGGCGTTCTGTCAGGAAAGAGGATGTGGGGGCAGCCGAGGCCTCTCTTCCCCAGCCCCTCCTCTGCTTTACCTTTGTTCGGGCGGTGCCCCACCGGCGAAACTTCGCTCCTTTCTGTCCTCCATCAGAATTCTGCACCACACACCGGATGCATTGTTCAAATGAAGCAAACAAGGTCACAGGAGTGATTTCTCTCCACTTTTTTCTTCTTCTTCTTCCAAACCCTGCTGCAGCATTCCAGTACTGTATTCACATCTTCTGAAATATGTTGCCAAGGGCAAAACCCGAGGGGAGTGCCCTGGCTGAGACTCTCAGGAGGCCTGGGATGAGGTTGGGCGGTGTGGGCGGAGGAAAAGGCCTGGCAGTGCCAGGCATTCTGTCCCCCCCCTCCTTCATTTCAGGCTCCTGCAGATCCTTGCATTCCTATGGCATGGAAAGCTTCCACCTCTCCCAGGGCTGATCCCTTTAAAACTCTACTGTTTTGGGGGTCTGCCACGGAGGGAGAGAGCCTGAGGGATCTAGATCTAGGCTGAGGATCAGGAAAAACTTCTCAACTGTTAGAGCAATACGATGACAGAACCCATGACCTCAGGAGGTGGTGGTGAGCCCTTCAACCCTGGAGGCATTCAAGAGAAATTTAGCCAACCACCCGGCAGATCTCCTTTGACTTGGATTCTTGTCTTGAGCAAGGGGTTGGACTCGATGGCCTGATGGGCTTCTTCCGACGCCACTATTTTGTGATTCCATATTATAACCTTGTTCCCTGTTCTCAGCCAGGTTCCGATGAGTTAGAAGAAGGGCCCACTTTTTCCTCCATTGTACTGTTTTGGAGAGTGGTTGGCCACAGCCTTACAGGAACCCAATAAGACTCAGAGGTGAATGTGTTTGCTCTCCAGGGACCTCCTGAAATGAACCCATCACTCTCATTCACAGATTTTTGTAGTCCCTTTGAAAGGGGACGTGGTGGCACTGCGGGTTAAACCGCAGAAGCCTCTGTGCTGGAAGGTCAGAAGACCAGCTGTCATAAGATCGAATCCACGCGACGGAGGGAGCTCCTGTCGCTTGTCCCAGCTCCCGCCAACCTAGTCATCCGAGAGCATGCAAAAATGCGAGTTGATAAATAGGTACCACCACAGTGGGAAGGTCACGGCGTTCCATGTCTAGTCGCGCTGGCCACGTGACCACGGAAACTGTCTTCGGACGAAACGCTGGCTCTATGGCTTGGAGACGGGGATGAGCACCGCGCCCTAGAGTCGGACACGACTGGACTAAAATATCAAGGGGAAACGTTACCTTTACCTTAGACCCATGGCCGGGATCACGTTTTGTGCCAGAAGGTTCTCTCAACTCGTCTTAAGGGGTACTTTATCCTGTCTTTCCTGAGTCTCTTTCCAATCTGTTTAATGGTATTCATGAGGGGGAGGGGGGAAGACCACCTTCCTCTCTTTCTGCACTTTGTGCGTGTGTTTATAAGCCTTGATTATGTGTCATCTTCCCGGCTCCATCCCAGCAGCCCCGTCCCGCCTTATCCCTGGCCCGCTGCCTTGTGACCAGTGGCTCAGTAATCAGATGATGGAAGTGAGTCATTCCTCAGCTTGGTCTCCAGCACTTCCTCTCCTCAGGTCTATTATAAATCCTGCTGTCCTTGTTTTTTGGAGTGGGGAGAAATGAGGTGGGTTGTGTCGGTGGTGGTGAAGTGGGTGTGTGGGGAGGGGAAGAGGCAGATGCATTGACTGAGAATCTCCAAAATAGAGGGAGGGAGGGAAGCCAAGCCTTGGCACAATGCATGGTGGATCCATGGAGTCCCCTGTGGCCATTGCAGGGCTCAATTTGAGCCTGTCCATGCTTGCTTTCCAGTGTTTAGTCCAGAACGCCAGGCAGGAGGGCCAAGAGCCTTTTACGTTGCCCCTAGACCTCTAGCTGGAAAGATTTGAAAAAGCCCCCATCTTTTTCAAACTCTGTTCGCCCACTGATTATCCCTCGGTGGATGGTGGTGGCCGTTTTAATGACTTTACGCTTCAGTTTGGTTTTGGTGAGGTTTATAAGTGGCCTTTTCTCCTCCGGGGGGAAGATGGGATGAAAAGGTAATAATAGGTAGAGGAACCGATCTAGAAACCTCTCGTCTAGCAAGGCCTGGTAACAATGCAGAGGTTGTGACCTCTGTAGCCCCCCCACACACCACCAAAGCTTATGCCTTCCTCCGTATGTTACAGGGCTTGCCCTTTGGCCCATCACAATCCTGATCCGAGAGGCCCGGCCACCTTCGAGTTAATGCCAATGTATGCAAGGCACACAGAGAGCCATGCCCGCTGACATCAACAGAAGGACCCCATTTCCCGGGAGAGGAGACCAGCACACGAGCCCTGTCCGTCTGTCTCTCTCTCTGTTTACGTTGCGTTTTGGGATCTCCCGGGTGTTGCCCTTTGGCCCATCACAATCCTGATCCGAGAGGCCCGGCCACCTTCGAGTTAATGCCAATGTATGCAAGGCACACAGAGAGCCATGCCCGCTGACATCAACAGAAGGACCCCATTTCCCGGGAGAGGAGACCAGCACACGAGCCCTGTCCGTCTGTCTCTCTCTCTGTTTACGTTGCGTTTTGGGATCTCCAGCGGGGGAAAGACTGGCTGTTCTAATAAGCGTCAGATGGACGGGGAACGTTAAAAATGCACCGGATCTTATTTTGGTAGTCTTGCCGTTTTTAATGGCTTGCGTTGCCCATCCTGAACTCCAGCCCTGTGCGGTCTCCGTTTGAAGGCCCTGCTCTGCCCTGTGGCATCCTTATTTTGCAGGCCGTCTCGCTCGGTGCCCGTGGGGAAGGGCATGACCTTCCTGCTCCCGTCGATTCATCCTGCCTCCAGGCAAGAGTTCAGCAAAAAGAGACGCCTGTCTTTGTTTTTCTCACCCATCCGGTCCAGAATTCTTTTAACCTTAAAGTGTATTTCAGGTCCATGGAACAGGGTGAAATCCTTCATGGGTGGATGGGTGGTTGATGCCAGGTCCTTACACACCTGCAGAGCATCAGGTGAGCTACCCCTTGGTCCGGTCAGGTTTTTTTACGTCGACCACTCCCAGAATCTGTGGGATTTCTGGGAGTTGTTGTTTCCCCTTAGAAACAGCTCCCCCCCCCACATTGTGGGCACACAGGGGGGGTCGCACATGCTTTTCACCCTTGGTCTGTGCCTGCCTGTGTTGTATAAAATGGGGGTGAAAGGGGGTGCAAACCTCTCTCTGCCTCCTCCTTGGCCCTGACACCCCCCCCTCAAGGCCATTCCCTCCCACTGCCCAATCCAGGAGGTGGATTTTTTCAGCGTTGCTCTCCAGCTGGAAAAAATTCATCTTGGGGGTTCATAGGAGCTACACGGGAGGACAGTGGCAGAAGGAATCTGCCCTCCCCTCGCCTTCACCCCCTTTTTCCTGCCATGAATCCCTCCCTTCCCTCTAGCTTCAAGCTCCAGACC